CGATGTACTTTATTCCTGTGACATGCTAAGCAATTTCCGGCCCAATGTTGTACTTCGCGATTCATCTTGGGCCAAACGAAACGTTGGGAGACTAACTTTACCGAAACGCGAATACCAAGATGAGATGAATTGTGAAAGATATTGAAGACTTGCTTCCTATGAAATTGTGGCACTACCGGTCGCGGGTGCCGGCAGAACAATCACACCAAATTTCGCCTTCTGAAGTATTAAGAGGAACGAGGTGGATTTTGAGCGAGCCGTTGCTCTTAAGAGTTTCCAGCTCAGAGTCGGACTTCTGTTCCTCTGTGGGTTGCGATAGGTCGATGTTGTCGGAAGAGAGGATGGGACTGATGCGTGGCAACGCTTCGGCGACAGGGTTGTGCGCACCTGCTACATTTCATATCTTCTCAGTAAACTGAGTGATATAGTCCATCTGACGAGACGCTCTGGGAGAGTACCTGTCGGAGTTTGATCGGACGACGTAAATAAGTGACTTGTGGTCAATTAAGACAACGAAGGGACGGCCTTCGAGCATGTGTCGAAAATGCCGTATCGCGAGGCATATGGCGAGTAGCTCGAGTAGCTCGTGATTCGGACGATTGCAACCGGATTAACAATAATAATAAATGTATATTTCACGGAGCTCCGTGAAGCATGCATAGGCATGGTCATGTGTACAACATAATCCTCCGTATAGGAGAAGCCCAAAACCAAATAATTGAAGGTCGCAGTGAACATAATTACAAATGGAACACAAAGTGGACAAGGTATCAAAGAAAAAGGATCGGGATGGCGGAATGTTCTAAGAGAGCAAGTCGGTGGAAGAAGAACGGAAAACAAGAATCGTTATATCAGATGAATGATGAGATGACTGGAAATACAGCAATCAGTGAGTAAAATAACGAGAGGCGGCCTGCAGATCGTTGGACGGGAATAGACGGAAACCGACACGCGAAGGTGTAGGATGAAGCAGAACAGGGTGAAACTGTCATCGAATTTATATGCACTTCATGTAGTGTAACAGATGAGGTCTGTAGGGTCTTGATCAATGGTCTCAGGGGCTCCGATCAGCAATGGATTGATTTGGGTTCTTTACGTTATTTAAGCGTTGGTCGCTTTGATTTGGGACTGGGTTCGAGAAGAAAGCGAGCGCTTGCTTGGCGTCTTTGATTCGCTGCTGTAAGACCGCACCTACCGTTACATCGGACGCGTCTGTCGTTAGAGACAGAGGGGCGCCGGGAACTTGATATGAAACAGAGGTCATGTTGGAGATGGCTTGTTTCAGGCTGGTAAAGACCTGGCGCGCGTCGTCGGTGAACTTTAACTGTTTGGGATTGCCACGTAAGAGATCTGTCAGGGGTTGCACTAGAGAGGCACACTTAGGGACGAAACGTCGATAGGAATTAACTAACCGATGGAACCGTTCAGCTGCTTCAGCAACGTAAGTTCTGGATACTCAGAATTGGCCACCACCAAATCCTGTAAATGGGCGGCCCCAGATTCGGAAATGCAATGACCTAGGAAGGTGATGCTAGGTTCGCCAAAGGAGCATCCGGCATCGTTTATCGTAACGCCTTGTTGGCGAAGACGTGTAAAAAGAGCGCTTAGATACTGCTCATGCTCCTCTGGAGTGACGCTGGTTACAAGGACGTCGTCCAGTTATGCGAAGGTGTTATCTAGAACTTGGCAAACCTGATCTATAAAACTTTGCAACGTTTGATCTGCGTTGCGAACACCGAAGAGCATACCGAGAAACTCAAAAAGACCAAACGGTATGTCACCACGCTCTTGAGGACGTCCTCGGGGTGTATCAGCATTTGATGATATGCGCGGATTAGATCGATTTTACTAAATAATTTACATACCCCTAATCTAGCAGTAGGATTTTGGATGTGGGGAATGGGGTAGCGATTGGGCGTGGTAAGGTTGCTCAATGCGCGGTAGTCACCACACGTCCGCCGAAGGACTTCTAAGGAACCATGTACAAATGGGGAAGCTCAAGGGCTGGAGTATGGCCAGATAATTCCAAGATCCAGCATGTGCTGAAATTCAGCACGGGCAAACTTAGCTTGTCAGGGGTGAGACTTCTGGGGTGGCAGTGGGCAGGAGGACCTCCAGTGACTATGTGGTGGACGATGTCTGTCGTCGCCTGAGATAGTGTGTCCGGCGGTTTGCCCAACTCCGGGAAATCGGATAGAACTGCTCGTAACATATCGGTGGCGTCGGGAACATAAAGGAGTGGCCTAATTGACGGAGCCGTCGTAGGCGTCCCATGGGTCTCACGCGTGGTGAGACGATCGATGAGCTTATGACCGACTGGATCAACTATGAGGAAGTCGATGCCGATTAGGGACTGTGGAAGTTCGGCGATGATAAATCCCCGGAGTAAGCTGTGGCGAATACCGAGGTTCAGTGTGAGTGAACGCTCGCCGTTGGTTTCAAAGGGTATGCGGTTCGCGGCGACCAGTTCCAATTAATAGAGCCGATGAAGGTCAGTTAGTCGATTGCGTATGACGCTGAACTGTTCACCTGTGTTAACCAGGAAGCCTCTTTCGGTGTGTCTGTC